GGAGGGTTGGACTAGATGACCCACAGAGGTCCCTTGCAACCCCTACTATTCTGTGATTCTGTGATTCTGTGATGTCAGCCATGCAGCATGCATAGGAGATGTGGTTCTCTCTGTAAATATTGATCATCAAAGAGATATAATGTAGTCACTCTTTTCTGCATTTGAAAAACCTAGTTTATTTTGGTTTACCTTATTAAGTGATAACATTTCAGCTCTGTACAAGAACGCCATTCAACCTTAGCCCATTTTGATAGAATATGCTATTACTGAAAGCATTGTAATGAAAATAAAACCCCCAAAATCTACCTGTAAAGCTATAACTGTGAGCATATCATATTTATAGATACATTTATTCTAGGAAGCAAAACAGAAGTGAAACATACAGGTTGAGTATGGTTACCCTAAATGTGTAGAGGGAATTTCAGGAGAAAAACAACACTGAGAATTTTGTGATGGGCAGTTCCTTGCGAATTGTTTTGTACACACTCCTTGGCCTTGCAGTGGGAGCTTGGGGGGCAGTCGATGTAACATGTAAAAGTCACCATTCCAACACACAGGAATGATCTCCTTCCTGTCTTTCACAGTTGAGGCAAATAGGCTGTATTGTCCAGGGGAAATGTACAACAATCAATAAATATTTGTGGGTTTTTTTCAGACTTTAAGTGAACCTAAAAAATGTTACAGACCCTTGCAGATTTCTAGAATGCAACTTTACTCCACTGTTATGTTGCAGTGGCAGAAATCATGTTGTACACATTTAGTTTAAAAGTGAATTGGCTTTCAAAGAACACAGTTCTGTTGCAGATTTACTGGTGTATATTTTGCTATGCCAGACAGTATAATTTTGAATGTATGAATAACTTAAATATATAGAGGGAGCTAAGTGTAGAAAATGTAGATAAACAGTAACTTTCTCAGTTACCTTAATTTCTTTGTTTGTTAATTTTAGATTGTGCATGTGAACTTAGAATGAGATAATTTTATATTACAATGTAGAGTAAGAATTGCTAATCTAATATTTCATGGATAATTCTTTCAGGCTTACATTGTGTCAAGACGCTGCTGCTAGTTTGAGCTTTGATATAGCTATGCTAGTCCAATATTGTGTTGCCTCTGAAAGAGGCTGGCCAATATCCATCCGCTCATGCTTGTTCTGCTGCTGTTACATCCTTTGCATTATCACTGATGCTTTTTTGACCTTGCAGGGAGGCATATCAGGGAGCTAAGCCAGCTGCTGCTTTGTAGCATTAGTTTCCTGCTGGTTTAGCTCTATTAGCTACCTAATGTTGGAATAAGATGAGAGCCAGTGTAAGGGTGATGGTAAGGATAGATGTGTGGGAATGAGATTAGGAGGTCTCTTGGCTGCCCTGTCTGGTTGCAGCAAGTTGTATCATAAAATCTTCCCCTTCGAAATATACAGGAACTGCACTTCACCACCAAATTTAACTCCAGATCCAAATCTGGGAGTGACACACATGGTGATATCAATCTGGAGAAGCTGGACAGAGACTGGTTTTGAGGTAGGAAACACAAGACAAGCAAAGCTGTTCCCACTCTGGAGTTCTGCAGAGCACAATTTCAGACTTATGTAACTAGGTTCATTTTAGTTCAGAAGTGTTTTACTGGTAACACATTCTAGATGAGCTATGGAGCACTGAAAATTGTGCAGTATAAGATAAGAGGAAGAAATGCGTTTCATTTCCATCTCTCTTGTACACAGGCAGACATACATACCCAAACCCTCTTTCTTCAAAACCTGTGCTTTTCATCCGCTGTCTGTGGGTTGTAAGTAATGTATTTTTTGCAAGTCTAGCAGCTGTCAAAAGTGCGGTTTGCTATTCAGCTTCATTTTCTGATCAATGTGCTATTAGTGTGTTTGAATTGCATAAGAATTTGCCAAAGATCTAATCCTCCTGTGGACAAAAGTATTAGTCTAGACTGTACTTGGTCGAGTCTGCTTATCATAACAACCGAAGTGAACGTTTGCAAAAGAAGATGATTGACTAGTGCTTAAAACGGATGCTGAAGTATATTGATACTTGCTGGAATGAAAACTTGAGTTAGTTAATATCATAGTATTCAATACGTTAACACTTTGAATACTGCTTGCTAAATATTACTGTAGTACCGTAAATTTTGCATCTTATATTATCAGGTTCCCTTATTCAAGTCCCTTCAGTTGAGAGGGGTAAACTTAGTAAAGTTCGTCTGGGATCATTATCTTTGAAGAAAGAAGGAGAAAGGCAGTGCTTCTTATTTACAAAACATTTTTTAATTTGTACGAGAAGTTCAGGAGGAAAACTGCATCTTCTCAAGGTATAGACTTTAGATTATGACTCAATTTACAAAATGAAAACACAGCTTCAGTGAAATTTCAGTATTTTATTACTTTATGGCTTTAACCTGAGGTTTGCATGTGTTATAAACAGAAGTGAGGTGATGCACAGTACGTAAGTGCTTTATCTTCTTATTGCAAATAATAGAATTCAGCCAAAATTCTTTCTAAATATAATTTTTTTTTCATTCTAGAACCATGTAATTCTGATGAGCTTGGGGTTAGAAACAAGACATCAGCATGTCTATTTGTATAAGCTGGCACTGAATTTAAATCAGTTTTCAATGCATAAATCAGCCAGTTACAAACCCATGGAATTACCAAAGAATATTTTCTAGACCTCTCATAAAATTAATTTAAGAATTCAATTCTGTTTTCCTGAACAGCGTATTCTCTTCAACTGAAAGCTGTTCTAAGAACACTCTATTTGTTGAGAATCAGGCTTTCATAGTGTTGGCTTGTGAATAAAGAGATGGTAATTTACAGAGTGGATTATGTTGAATAGAATTTCAATTTGACAGATAAATCTGAGAGGTTATTAAGACTGTTTGCATGCTTTCTCACTTTGCATCCCTTAAATAGTTCAGGTATTTTTCAAAGTAAATGGAGTATAACTGAATCTTTTAAAAAATCTTGTATGTATTTGATTTAAATTCAGGAGAATATTAAATTCTGGTTGCCTTTTTTGAAACTTGTGAGCAGGTCAGTATGTGAGATAAATTATAGTGTGGTAAAAAGGAAAGAAATTTTGTACATTTAAGTATATTACTGATTTGTTGGATTAAGAAAAATGTTATACTTAATCTGTCTGGGTTTAGTCCTTGAGGAAAAAACTGCGTCATGAATTTGGTGTATCTTCTTAAGAGGTCTGAGTAATGTGCAATCTTAGAGTAAGGTGTATCAATGTTTAAAAATAACTGTAATGACAAATGCTAACAAATGTCAAAATTTGTGAAAAATGTGCTTTGTTTTCATAGACAGGAGGTGTTCTGTCTTTAATAGAGTGCACACTGATCGAGGAGACAGACACGAACGATGATGATTGTAAGTCAAATTCATGTGTTTGTAGTAATTACAGTTTCTAGTTTCCTAAAATTGGTACCCTTTGTTTACTTTTCATAAGAGCAAATTGGTATGTTCTCCCTTCTCATGAAACCAGAGGAATACAGCATTAAATTGATTCAGTAGCATAGCTGTTTTAATAATGGGCATGCTGGCTTGGATAAGGGTTTGTTTTGTTATGTTTCGTCTTGCTGTTGACATCCCACATAGGATTTTCTAGTAGACTGGCTGAAGGAATGTAACAAACTATTTGCTGACTTTTGGATACAGCTTCACTAGGAGGATTTCTGAGACAAAAATATATGCTTTAAAAGAAGCAGCAGGTAATATGGTTTCTTAAATACGTGGGGGTTGAGTGAGTTGGCAGAATTAGTGGAAAGTTTTGGTCCTAAACTCCCTACCAATCTTAACTGCAAGCTTGTTCAAGTGAAATAACAAAACACATTCTGAAGCTGATTTTATTGTTACTCATTTTGGCTTCCATCGTGCAGTTTTAGGCAAGTTTTGCACTTGAATTGTGGAAGTTGTTTCATTAATTTCAGTGATACATCTGGTATGCTGAGAGTCTGTCGGCATAGAAGTGTTAGAAGGACTCCAGCCTTACTTGGTATCTTTAAAAGTAATGGATAGCAACTCCCACAATTGCATGTTTTCAACTTTTTTGTGTTTGGTGTATGTGAAAAACAAAATGAGTTTTGTATCCCCAATTGGATTTGCTCTTTGTCAGAGATGTTTTAAAGTAAGTTCCGTTTTGAACGAAGCCATTGCTTGCTTTCTCTTGTAGTCTGAAGTCTCACATTTTGTCTTTTTTTTCCCCTCTGGCTGTAAAGCTAAAGGTTCTGGACAGGTGTTTGGACATCTTGATTTCAAACTTGTAATTGAACCTACAGATGCTCCTCCGTTTACTGTTGTCCTTTTAGCCCCATCAAGACAGGAGAAGGCTGCATGGACAAGTGATATAAGTCAGGTAGCTTAATGCATTCTTTATCTTGTTTGTATTGAGACCTTAGTTTATTCTGTGTTTCTGAAAACTAATCCAAGACAGGGATGTTGTTTTCTCGGGGGCTGATTTGCTGTGTATATGAAAAACCCTTCAGCGTTACCTGTTTTCCTCAAAATTCTATCTTTGCATTTGAGTCATCAGTGAAGTGTGTTTCTCAATGAGAGAGATGGGATATAAAATACAAAATTGTCAGTTGACAAAGACAATACTAATGGTAGTCATTTTTATGTCTAAGGAGAGCCCATCCAGGTATATATTTTGATTTAAGAAGAAAGATAGTACTTGCCTGCACAAAACTTTCATGCAGATCAAAAACCACCTGAGTACTGAGAGTGAAAATGATACATTATCATATCCCATGCAGTGAGAAAATGAGACAAACTCCATTTTCCACCCAAAAAAATATTAACAAACCATTATAAATAATTATTAATCATTCTGACAGTGTGCAGGAACTGTCTTTATTGTGATTGTAGAAAAATGGTGTTATAAAATACTTCAGTGTCAGGGATAAAAATATTTTTTTTAGTGCTTTTGGCTAAAAACATAGTATACAAACTTTTATCAGAATCTGGGGAAAAAAGTTGAATGCACTCTGAAAAACCTGAACTCTCAACTAATCAGATCTGAATTAAGGCTACTGCTATTTTGTTTATGCATGCAACAAGAATAGAAGCATAGAATCGTAGAATGATCAAGGTTGAAAAAGACCTCTAAGAACATCAAGTCCAAAGAACTACATAGATCTCTCATAGTTCTGAACTTGAGTCCTATCCTCTTTTAATTTAAAGAGAAATAGTTGATTAGACAAGTATCAGTGTGGAATTTGATTAATTTCTAAAGATGCTACCATTGCTGGTGACATCTCCCAATGAATTATCATCATAATTAGTAGAAATTGCTTAAAAATAAGTATTCTTAGTTACTTTCTTCTGGACAAACTTTTTTAAAGGAACAAAAATATGAAGATAAAAATCTCAAAATATGGTATGCGCTGCCACTCAGTGCATGCAGATTTTACAGACACATCTGGTTGAAGAATTTTTTACAAAATGGATTTTCAGTGAATTATGTTGTTCCACTGACATGTAAAAATGTTAGAATTATTTCCTGGGAAGGAAATGTAGTTTAAGAACTGGCCTGGAACATGAGACACCCAGGAAGAAGTCCATTCTTAGCCTGAATAATACTAAAAATCTCAGTTTGAGGTGAAGTTAAGAGGGGGGCCAGCAAAACCACCACCACGGGCTTTCGGAGATCAGACTTTGTCCCGTTCAGGACGCTGGTTGAGAGGGTCCCCTGGGAGAGAGTCCTGAAGGGCAGAGGGGTCCAACAAGGCTGGACATTCTTCAAGGAGGAAGGCTTAAAGGCACAGGAGCAGGCTATGCCCATGTGCCGCAAGACAGAATCACAGAATCACACAGAATCACAGAATGTTCAGGGTTGGAAGGGCCTCTGTGGGTCATCTAGTCCAACCCTCCTGCCGAAGCAGGGTCACCTCCAGCAGGCTGCACAGGCCCTTGTCCAGGCGGGTCTTGAACATCTCCAGAGAAGGAGACTCCACAACCTCCCTGGGCAGCCTGTTCCAGTGCTCCGTCACCCTCAGAGTGAAGAAGTTCTTCCTCATGTTCAGACGGAACTTCCTATGCTTCAGTTTGTGCCCATTGCCCCTTGTCCTGTCGCTGGGCACTACTGAAAAGAGCTTGGCCCCATCCTCCTGAAAAGACGAACCAGCGGGGTTTACAAGTAGCAATCAAATCAGTTGACTTAGTGCTGATACTCCATCTGGAGAGCAAGAAAGTAGAAAATAACACAAGAAGCATGCCACCTGTCTTCTGCTGGAGAAAGCAAATTTGGGGTGAAAATTTGAATAATACATGAGAACTTCTAGACAATTGAGATCACTAGTCTCTTGAAAACCTGTGTTTCTGACTGAACCAGTTGACAGCAGAAACGTTACCATAAAAAATTACTGAATCATCTGCCCAGAAGCATTTTTCTGGGGTTTTAATTCTGGCTTCAGCCCTCAAGGAGAACACAGGAACTATGCTAACAAAAAGGGCATGTAAAAAGTATTTTTTTGGTAAATATGTGTTCTCCTATGTTGGCAGGTAAAAAAAAGTATACGTGTACTTGCTGTTGACTCACAGCCTTAGTCTTGGTGTCCAGAATTCTGCATCTTAATAAATTATATATGCATAAGACATGTAAGTCTCATTTGTCTTTATGTTCCTGGTGAGACTTCTTGAATTTATATTCCCTTCATGCAAACCATACACCTATGAAAAAATACATGGAATTTGTCAATGCTGCAGAAGTCTCCCCTCTTCTAGTTTGAGCTTGTTGTCCTTTAGCCCTAGATCCCTATTGCCATCATTCATTTGCTAGAATGATGGTACCTGTCAGGGAGGTGATAAATGCTAGGCCCATGAAGACTGAGGGTAACAGTGCTGAATTACCTCAGGCAGTTTTATGATTGATGCTAGGGGCTTCTTTGCAACATTTAAAATTCATGATGGGGGAAATTATGTGTTTTTCTCAGTGCTTTTAGATAATGATTTGATAATATCATACTGTGTTACAACTGCGCTTTTCAAATAGTCATAAATACCTGAATTTAAAAAACCATATAGCTACATAGATCATATTTTAAATGTATAGCTATGTAGGTATATTTTAAACCTGAAGAGGCTTCTGATTATCTTGTTTGGCCAGTCTAACATCAATCATTATTTTGCTATGAGATGTTCCAAAGCCAGCTGGCTGTTTTTATTCTTGAAGTCAAGGTAGATATGTGAGATAGTTTTGGAAACTCCTTTTTATTGACGTAAAGAAATAGTGGTTTTATATATATATGTGTCTGATACTTCACGAATAAAAGTGTAAAGTATTATAAAGACAAGAGTCCTGCAGTGTTAGGTAACAGGTACTTGTTGCAGACCCTATAAGCCTGATCCAATGGCAGATTCTGCTGACTTCCAAGAGCAAGAAGGCATGTGGTGCTGTGTTATCGTAACTACCTAGAAATACAAACCAGAAGATAATGGTGTACAAATGGTTTTGAGCTACCCCTGTGTGCTGGCAGTACTGAGCTGCTTTGAGGTCTGAAGAACAGCTTATGCACCGCTAGGTTGTAGACTTCTACTGGCCACAGGACAGACTGTGATTTCTAAAGGAGTATGTGCTGCGATCATGCGCCAGAACTGTCTTTCCGGCTTTTAATACCTATCCCAAAACATTTACACTACAGTGTAGAAGAAAGTCCTTGGACAGCATCTTCATAGCTATGTTTCACAGTAACAGCACCACTTGAATTTGTTTTTACAAGTGTGTTTCTAGAAACTGTTTATACTTCTCTGTGGTCTTTTTTCACAGTGTTAAGGGTATGGTATTAGTGTATCCATTTCTGTATAAAGTATTCTCACTTTCTTGCAATATTGATTTTTCAAGCTTGACACTCATTCAGGAAATGCTAGAGACATTTAATTCTTTCATAGACTCACACAATCATTACGGTTGGAAGAGACCTCTAAGATCAAAGTCTAGTCATCACCCCAACACCACTACGCCTGCTAAATCATGTCCTGAAGTGCCACACCTACATGTTTTTTGAACACCTCCAGGGACAGGGACTCCACCCCTTCCCTGGGCAGCCTGTTCCAATGCCTGACCACTCTTTCAGTAAAGAAATTTTTCCTAACATCCAATCTAAACCTCTCCTGATGCAACTTGAGGGCATCTCCTGTCATGCTATTGCTAGTTACCTGGGAGAAGAGACCAACACCCACCTCACTACAACCACCTTCCAGATACTTGTAGAGAGTGAGCAGGTCTCCCTTCAGCCTCGTCTTCTCCAGACTAAACAATCCCAGTTTCCTCAGCTGCTCCTCATACAACTTGTTCTCCAGACCCTTCATCAGCTTCATTGCCCTTCTCTGGACAGGCTACAACAACTTAATATCTTTCTTGTACTGAGAGGCCCAAAACTGAACACAACATTCAAAGTGTGGCAATTTTGTTCACTTTCAAAGGAACTTCAAAGGAAATTTCAGTTCCAGCTCAAAATACTTAATCATGTGCAGAAAAGGATGTGGAGCTGAATATCCCAAGCAGAAGACTAGAGAAGCAAGTCAACTATAATTTTTACATCACTGCTTTTCATTTATGAAAATACTTTGTACCAGTCAGTCCACAAGCTATGCTTTAAGCTTACAGCAGTATGAAGAGTGTGGAAATAAGTCCCCTTACCCTGTGTTTTGATTTTAACAGCTTTCAATGTTTGTTTTCACAGTGCATTGATAATATAAGATGCAATGGTTTAATGACCATAGTGTTCGAAGAAAACTCTAAAGTCACAGTGCCACATATGATCAAGTAAGTGTAGCATTTATTTTCCCAGTGAACAAAATAATTTGTTGGGTTTTTTTGTAATAAAAGTTTTAACAAAAGAAAATGTATATTTGGAAAATACGACCTTTTCATTTTTTTTTTTTCCGTTTTCCTGAATGGAATTAATTCTACATCCCAAAATGTATCTTTTTAAATATCTTGCTTGAAATGGTAGGGATGACTCAAAATGGTAAACTCTCAGAGTATTGGACTGTATAGGAACACAGCTCAGATTTTTTTATTATTTGTGAAGTTGCCTTCAGATTAATAATTTTATTTTCTGTTAGCTTTTCTCTGTCATACCACTCATAATTTTACTGGATCTATTTAAAATGTCTTCAGAATTTAGATGACTGTAGACTTGTATCATTTTCTAAGGTATTTGGTTTATTAGCCAAAATTTTTCTTCTCTTTGTTTCTCTTATTTCTGAGAAAAAAATATTTTAACTGATCACATGAAGGTAACATCATTATTTATAAACCTACTTCCTTCACCCTTGGATTCTTTCAGTCATTTATTGTAAGAAGTAATTTTTATTTGTAGACAGCTATTTTCAGGACATAATTCCAAATTTCTAACACAGTTTAACCTCTTGGATCCTCTACGGATCTGTATTTACATGAGTTTCATCTACTATTGTCCAATATAAATATTAAGGAATGGAACACAGAGATACAAATATAAGTATTTCCTTTCATACTGTTACCTGTCACTAGGCCATTTCTCTCTCTTGGATGTACTCTGTACATGAAGGTTTCTCAGACGCCTCTTCTGTAGTGGTTTCCTCTCCTCTGTTTGTATATGCTCAGAAATTAAAAAGAGGTAACATCTGTGAATATGCTGATAGGCCACATGCCTTTGATGCCTGGAAAGAAGACATTTTGTTGTCTTCAGTTTTATTCCAGGAACTCTCCAGTGCGTAAACACTTCTGTTACCTGCTGAATGTTAAAAATACGTTCATCCGTTTTCAAACTGTAGAGTACAGCAAGGTCTTAATCCCAATGTCAAGAGAAAGAATTCTTAATTCTAAGAAACATGTAGGATCTTAAAAACAGACACAAATTTGGTATTCTCTTTCTGAGATTTTGCCCACCTGATTTTTAGCACACACTGACTTTTAGAGTCAGATGTCTTTGGACAAAATAAAAAAAAAATAGCCACTTTTCTGGAGACCCAACATAATGAGGAAGAATTTTTTTGTTGTTTATGTAATGCAGTGTAGAAGTATGTGGAATATCTCGATGCTGTATTCTAAGAAAATCCAATTGCTTTTGACAAAAAGATCAGGCAGTATTGAAAGATGCTTGACTTGGTATCTGTCCTGGTTATTTGTAAAATAAGCCGTCAACTAGACAAAGTTGAGCAAAACTTAATATGGAGAAAATCCATTGTGAGTAGGGTTATGTAAATGATTGATTTTTGTTTTGATGTCCAAACAAAAATTAGTCCAATTTTTTTTCAGTGAAACAAAGCGTCTCTATGGTTTCTGCTTTGAAAATTGAGAGGTTTCATGCAGTTCCCTTTTTCTTTTTACAAAAAAAAATTATTTCTTGGAGCCTGAGGGCAGGTGTTATCTTGCAGGTAAGCCATAAGCTTAGCTGAGGGCTTAATTTTGCTTCTTTTGCTAGGGTCTTTAGTTGTTTTACATAAAGCTAGGTCCCAGCAGAAAAATTTGCAGTCAGTCCACTATTATTCCATAGTGAGCTTCCAGTAATACTTGACTACAGGCCACAACAGCCTGAAACAGACAAGAGGGGACAATTTGGCCTCCTGTTCCATTTCAGAAATGTAAGCATCAGTAATGGTTTCTAAGACTTTGACATGTAAATTAACAATTTGCTAAAAATAAAATTTAAGTTCCCTTAGTTACAGCATAAAATATAACTGCAGGTATTGCCACAGATTAAGAGGTTTTTTGTGTTGATGAAATACAAGAATGCATGTATATTCGTTCCTTCTGTGTTGACAGGGACAGCTAAAATAGATACCACTGCTGTACCATAATCACTCTTCCTCTTTGGTAAAATGTTCTGTGTTTGGTTTTTGTGCAGATCTGATGCTCGTCTTCATAGGGATGACATTGATATCTGCTTCAGCAAAACACTGAATTCCTGCAAAGTACCCCAAATCCGTTATGCAAGTGTTGAGCGCCTTTTGGAGCGGCTAACAGACTTGCGATTTCTAAGTATTGATTTCCTGAATACTTTCCTACATACTTACCGCATATTTACTACTGCAGCTGTTGTACTGGAAAAACTTTCAGATATATACAGACGACCCTTTACTTCCATTCCCGTCAGGTGAGCTCTGGGATTTTTCCCTTCTATCACAGGTTTCTTACAGAATTACTATAGTGTCACTTGTTGGTAGGTTTTTCTACCATGATTTTCTGTTATGTAAATAATCTAAGAAGAAACTTCTTCCTTTGTAAACAGGACATAAGTTTTTCGGTAAGTCTGTCTCAGCTTTCTGCCTAGGCTTTGAAGAGTAAGTGTCATATGGATTTTGCAGTGCCATGCAAATTTGCACAAAATTTGTTTGTAAGTCTTTTCACTTAAATCTGTTTGGCGTTCGTTATCATCTGTTGCTTTGTCTCTTTCTTACTGTCAGGTCTTTGGAGTTATTCTTTGCTACAAGTCAAAACAACAGAGGAGAGTACCTGGCTGATGGGAAGTCACCACATCTCTGTCGCAAGTTTTCCTCTCCGCCTCCATTGTCACTCTCCAGAACTTCCTCACCTGTCAGAACCCGAAAACTGTCGTTGACCTCACCACTGAATTCAAGGATTGGTGCCCTTGACCTCTCTACTTCATCTGTGGCAAGCAGTCCTACCTCGACCTACAGCCCAGCCACCTCCCCACCGCCAACGGGTAGCAAAGTACCACTGGACCTTAGCAAAGGGCCATCCTCTCCTGAGCAAAGCCCTGGTTCCATAGAGGACAGCTTGGAGAACCCTCGTGTTGACCTCTGTAATAAGCTGAGGAGAAGCATTCGAAGAGGTATTTAATACCCACAAAATACTCAATGTTGCTTTTGATAAATAGGGTAGTCTCTGAGGTAGACTTGACTTTTGTCTGATTACTGCTAAGAAGTTGTTTCTCATGTCTCAATTTTTTTTCTCCTGATGACCGTAAGTTGTGTTGTGAAACCAAATACTCTGCTTCTGCTTCTTCTCTAGTAGAGGCTGCGATGCATTGTCTGTTTCCACTGATTTGTTGCCTCTTTGTAGGAATAGCAGTGTGGCCGAACGGCCTTGTCTGTTTTCACTTCGGCGGAGTGTTAAGGGGAAAGGCAGAAGGAAATGTTTCATGCCAGTTGTGTTTCTTGAGGTGAAGGAAGTAAAATACTAAGTTAAATAGAGATGTAAAGACCTAACAGCTTTAGTGTGTTTATATAACAGGGCTAGTTTTCCGGAAAGATTTCACAACTAGTCCAAACAAATAATTTATGTGATGCACTTGATACATTGGTGAGATTCATACCACCTGCTTGTTATCCATCCAGAAGGTAGATGTCTAAGATAGATGAATTGCTCCTGTGCAAATGCCTGTTTTGCTCTATGAATTGTGTAAGGCACCTTGGAATAGGTACTACTTCCAGAGGGCCAAAGTTAGTTGACATAAACCTCATGGTAGGCATCTGGAATGGGATCATTGTATATAGAGATGGCAAAGCAAGCAAGCAACTCTAATCTCATAGGATGCACAAGTGTGTGCTTATTTCTCATTGCTCATTGGGGATGGTGGGATGGTCTTCCTCTGAATTGGAATAGAAGTGTATAGTAATCTTTTCTATTGTTGTTACATTAAACAGAAAGATAAGGAAATTAAAAAATGCTATTTTATTCCTAAAAAGTCATGTTTAGAAATGGTCTTACATGGCCTGACTTACATTCTGAGGAGTTTGAACCGTAAATCTGAGCAAAATGTAGATCAATTTTAGTTACAAATACTGTAACAATGAGAACTGATATAACCTGAGAGGAAAGATGAAAAAGATCACCAAACATAAACTAAGAAAAAGATGATTGAAGCATTGTGTCCACTCCTTACTGATGAAATGAAATAAGTGCCCTGGTAACAAATTTGATGTTGTATTATGCAGAGGGATTGTTTTTACAAAATGTGGTTTATTGTTCAATAAAAAATCTTTTTAACAGGCAAGTTAGCCATCTTAGCATTACAGGACTCTGTGCTTGCCCGTGCTTTATACTTTCATAAAATGCTGATTCACTGTTAAGCTTAATCACTATATGTCTCTGTGCTGGATATTTTTAAAGGAATAGCACAACAGCATATTCATATATTAAAAATACAGTATTTACTATGTAGAGTTGGGCAAATTCTTCTTGTGCTCTAGTATAACCACATTCAAATCAAAGTGATATCACAGAATCACAGAATGTTCAGGGTTGGAAGGGACCTCTGTGGGTCATCTAGTCCAACCCTCCTGCCGAAGCACGGTCACCTACAGCAGGCCGCACAGAACCACGTCCAGGCGGGTCTTGAATATCTCCAGAGGAGAATCCACAACCTCCCTGGGCAGCCTGTTCCAGTGCTCCGTCACCCTCAGAGGGAAGAAGTTCTTCCTCATGTTCAGACGGAACTTCCTGTGCCTCAGTTTGTGCCCGTTGCCCCTTGTCCTGTCACTGGACACCACTGAAAAGAGTCTGGCCCCATCCTCCTGACACCCACCCTTCAGATATTTATAAGCATTTATAAGGTCCCCTCTCAGCCTTCTCTGCTTCAGGCTGAACAAGCCCAGATCCCTCAGCCTCTCCTCGTAGAATGTCCTATAGCATAGGCTGTGTATTAAAATTAACTGTATACAGGTAACTGCAGTCTTAGGTGTAATGTTTTTTGCTATACACTTCAAAGTAAACTAGTAAAGAATAGGTTATTCTGGCCTAGTGTTAGCACTAGGCGTTGTTGAAGAGTGATTCAGATTTTGCATTCCAGTCTATCAGAGATGGAAGTGTCATCTGGGCAGCGTGAGGAACATTTGGAAATGGCAAGAACCTTATATAAATGCTAAATTGCTGTCTGTGCAGTGTCTCCACTCCCCTTGGGGATCTCCTGCTGCACAGTTTGCACTCAGCTTGGTGGAATTTGCAGCTAGACAGCTCTGTTCTGTGGGTGAAGGTCCTTTTGTCACCCAGCTGCATACAGCATGTTGAGGAAGAGAAGTGAGTGTGAAAAGATACCTCACAAGGAGAATGGAAATGGATAGTAGGAGAACTATAAAATGCTAATGTGCACGTTTCCTGTCGTATGTAATGCATTTCTTTGTTTCTGAAGTTTTCTGATGAAGGAGACCAGTTCCACTTAATCAGGAGCTACCACCCCGTTACAGTTAATATTGTTGCACTGATACTGCCAGATTTGCAAGAGAACAGCTATGGCTTACTCTAAATCCAATATAACCACAGAAATTCTGTTCCTCAGGGCATGTTATTGTGGTGGTTGTGTTCTGTTTGAATGTTTTCCATTTCCATCCTGAAACTTCCACCTTCTTCACCCACTTCCAAAGTTGTTTTCTTTCAAAGTTTTTGTTTTCCGGAGTTATATATATTTTTAAATATACAGTACTTATGCCGCAGGCACAGTTGTCATTCATATCAAACATAGGATATATTTTATGAGCTGGTTTTCCCTCGTTTTGGAAGTAGTATTTCTGCCATTCCTTTTTTATTCTTCTGATAGAAGAACTCCTTCATGGAGTAATCTGCTCTCGAGTGCTGTTAGGCCGTTTTATTGAGCAGTTTTTGATAATGCACAGTTATCCAACAAGGATTGTTTTGCCTAGCTGGTATAAAACCTAGGAGTTCAATGTGTGTGTTTGACTGCATGTTCTGCTGACTTAAAGTGCAGTCTTATCCAAGCTATTTTTAAAGCTGATGACTTGCTGGTTTTCACCAAGCTCTTTATTCAGGAACTTTTGTGTGGCTATGTTGTTGGTACAAAACTTTCCTAGTCCTTTAACTCCATCCAGAGAGTAATTGCTGCTGAGTCTTCTTAATGGAAAACTTTCATGGCAAGTTCTAGAAGCAGTGCTGTTTAAAACAACTGTAAACCACAGATTAAATGTAAACAACTTTGAGTTAGATGGTTCTTAGTGATATTAGGTTGGTATTGAAACACTGGTATTAAGTCCTCTTAGTTAATGGCTATTTTTTTGAATGTCACCTTTCAGTGAACCCCTCTTTGATGTACGTATTTTTTTTTTAATCAGTGCAGTATGGTTCAGATTGTTCAAAGTTGATAATCTGCAGCCTTTCTGTCTTTTGGTGTTTGTAAACTGAGAGTCCTGAATCACCCACATACTCTATAATCTCTGCAGAGCCACTGCATATCTAAGACAAACTAATCTGACTGCACTCTGTGCTTTAAAAAAGCATATCTTAAGCCTCATGCTGTAGTTGCCTGTGGCATCTTGATATTTCCAAATAAAATTTATACTTTATAAATATGTTAATATAATAATATAATATATTTTATACATTAATATGTTACATATTTATTTCTATAATGTAGTCAATATATTATAATATAATACACATTATAGAGTTGTAAATTATGAACAATCATCCCAGTATTAACATTTATTCTCTTTTAAAGCAGCAGTTCTAGAATCTGTGTCAGTGGACCGGACAATTCCTGAAAGCACCTCAGCAGTGGATACCACAGAACTTTCACCATGCAGGTCCCCTTCGACACCACGTCATCTCCGCTACCGTCAACCAGGAGGTAAGAACCTGGTTTTTCTTTCTTGCCTCTATCAGTCACTTTAAAGTGTTTAAGTACTGTAGCTGTAATCTTTACAGAACATTAGAAAATAGTAGTGTTTGAATAATGTGTTTTGCTTGTATTTTCCTAGTTTTGCAGGCATTAAAAAAAAAAGCTGTTACAACGTGAATTGCAATGGCTGATTTGTATAGCAATAACAAGAGACTTGGGAGCATATTGGAACTTCAGTATGGTGGAATGGGCTTAAATAGTTTGAGCAGGATGTGCCCAAGTTCAAGACTAATATCGAATCTGTCCTATTTTCACAAAACTCTCAAGACTGTGGCAGATTTGTTTCAGCTACTAAGGGGACATATTTTGGGCACCGTATGTAATAATGAAATACACAGCATCCATTATTGTCAGTGGGGAGTGGTTGTGTCTATTTCTTTGTGTAACACTGACCATTTACAGATGGTGTCACATTATTTGTTGCAAAATTTGAATAAACTGCTCAGTTGAAAAGTGAGAGCTGGAGCTCCTCGAATAGCTCTCATGGGGCTCTTTGAAATCATTAGCAGAGCTGTGAGCTATCTCCATGAACTCTTAACATGCTGTCATCTCACGCAAGCCAAAGCAACAAAAAGAAAACAGAGTCTTCTCAAATGTTAATAAGTTAGTGAAGCACTTTAATTTAAAACCAGTAGTAATCTTCTGTTATTGCGCGTGTTTCTGGTGAGTTGGCAAGATTTGGGAGTTGGAAACTGGCACTGGGGAAGAGTGCCATGTTATCTGAGTACTAGTCAGAAGCAGTATTCACAGCACTCCCTATAGAGAAAGTTTGGTAAATTGTGCAAAACTGTATTCATTCTGGGTAGCGACCTTGGAAAATATGTGAATCTAGTTATCAGAAGTTCGTTAACATGCTTAGTTCTGTAACATGAGTTTTTTTGTTTAGGTTAGTTTTCTACACCGTTGTTTTTATAATTTGTTTTTCTGTTTCTTGTTCCTCACCTTGGCAGTGTTTTAGACATTTTTTTCCATAGCAACATTAATTATACCAACGTGGAAATAAATCACAAATATGGTGATGATATTTTTATTTCCCTTAATATAAAGTCCTCTGGCAAAGAAAACTTAAAATGTTCACAGAGTATAAACATGAGTGAAGATTTTAAGTATTATTGTTGATTAACTTGAAAAATTTGAGAAGCATGTAGAAGTTGATAGCTTTTCTCTGTCTGTCCCCTTTACAGTACAAAATGCTGACAACAGCCACTGTTCGGTTTCTCCTGCTTCTGCTTTTGCTATTGCTACAGCTGCAGCAGGGCACGGGAGTCCACCAGGTGAGAGAAATGTGCTGTACAAAAGACAGATTACAATAAAATACCTAGATCTGAAAAGGTAAATATTTCTTAAAATCTTGTGAATCCTAAATAGCCACTGATGTGTTACTTTAGTCTGCTGGTGCTTGGAATCTGTAATCCTGCCCTTTGTGTGGACGCCCACAGTTAATTGGAGCCTTGGCCTCCGGTTATGTGGCCAATATGAAAATATTTGTAATGTAACTCATTTAATTGAAAGTGAAATTGACCCATAAGAGTGACTGAAACAGCTTAAGACAGATTATTCAGGTACATCCGCCCTGTTGTGTTTCCTGCGGTAGCAGTCTGGAAATTTTGGCTGATGAAGTAGTTCATGTCACTAAAGAGTAAAATAAGCTTTTAGGCTGTTTATATACCGCCCTGTCCTGGGGAGTTGCCAGCAACCATCATCATGTCTACTTGAAAGAAGGAAAGGATGAGAATGTATTTAGAACTATCTTTTACAACAAAACATAAAACATATCAAATGAGGACCACATATTATACCACATACCTTCAAGAAACTTGTGTGAGCTTTGTGCCTTTGTTTTGTGGACTCTGAGGATATTGCCAAATTATTCAGTGAGATTTTGAACTATCATGGTATAAACCAATGATGGCTTTTCTTGATGACTTAAATAAAAGTTATGTTTATCACTCCACATTGGCACTTCATCATCTATTAGTTGAATTCTTGTATTCTGTCCTTAATATTTCTAGTCCTGACTATTACTGAAATATTAATAATTTACATATATGTAATCTGCTAAACATCTAGATTATATCTTTCTTGATTTTATTTTTTTGTATTTGCTTACAATTTAAGATTTTTTTTTTAAATGAACCTTTTTTATGTCCAAGGTTGGTATACATGAGAGCAGTTGTACTTAACTAAATTATTACAAGTACGTACTGTATATTCCTTGGAAAGCAGCGATGTTGGCTACTGACTGGAGGTATTTTGTGCAACTTAAAATACTGAAGTTTTGAGTTCACTTGCTGTCTTTCTGTGTAGCCGTTGACATCTTAATAATTTCCACTGAGTCCTGTCCAAGGTTATGTTACAAATAAAAAGCAATTTTTTTAAATCCACAAAATCTACTTTCACTTTGCATCAACACACTCAAACCCGCAGTTCATTTTGATTATGTCTGACATAGTCCAACTGTAGATTAACACCTGCCTCTTTTCCATCATAACTGTTGGAATGCCAAGAAACTGCTTTGAAGAACCTAGTCTCAAAATCACTTGTGAAATTCTATGCAAGTTTGTAGATAATCACCATTGATTTCAGTGGATTTTGTATCCGCTGTGTCTGAAATTGTGATCATTCACTTGATGAGTGGGTAGGCATCAGGACAAAATAATTTCTGGATAAACATGGATCAGTGCTTCTATTACTGTTGTGTACTTCCTGTGATCTTTAGAAGATAACAAGAGAGTAATATTCAGTTTTAGGAACTTTAGGAACTTGTCACAAACATGTATTTTCTAATTTTTTTTGGAAATTATTAATATTCTCTGCCTTTGGCATCAGACGCTGTGAATGAATCAGTGACACATTTTGCTTTATGAATTAATTCCAGTATATTTGGAAATTGTTCAAAAAATGCAGTAAGAGTAAAAAATACTTTTTTCCCCACTATGACCAATTCTATTACAAATTACTCCTTTTGTATTGTTAAAAGCACAGCTTTTTGATGTTTGTAGTATTGAAGTATGAGAGAAAATAAAATCTGCAAGTGTGCAATCAGTTGAAGGAATATTAAAGCATGAGGACGTTGAAAAAGAAAAAAAAACATCCGTAATATTCTTAAGTACTTTTTTGTGTTGCTAATTAAGCTAGTTCTGCATAAAAAGTCAATTTTCCTGGGTGATGTGAAAAAACAGTAAGAAGGTTCCTGCAGCAAATCTGACAAGAAAAGTGTGTAGTGGGCAGTCTGAATAGACTGAGCTGGAGCAAGCCTATTCACTTGTAATCAACAGAAAATTCAAGGCTACAAACCTGAATCACCTCGTTTGTAACTTGATGCAATTAATCATGGTAGAGATGGTATTGAAGTTGAAGAGTCATGCAGTTCAAATTTGGGCAATTCAAATGATTTTATTACTTCCCCATGTATGTGATCATAATTATGTGGGGGTTTTTTTAAATAATGCCTATTTTTCCCAGTGGGCTCCTGTCTCCTTCACTATATAGGATGGGCATGATCTCTCAGTGAATCAGGTCTGAGTGGTGAGTGAGATTTACGTCTTTTTTTCTTTTCTCAGCTGGTCCTTGGCCTCACAGCCACAGGCATTATTGTGTGAGCCATTTAGTATAAGCCTACATGGAACATAAATAGACTGACAGGTGAAATTCTGTGTTGATAAATATCAAGTGATGCACATGAGGAAAAACAGTCTGAGCTCTACACCTGAAAGAATGAGCTCTGTGCTGGACATGATCACTCAGGACTAAGATCTGAGGATTACAATAGATAGTTCGATTAAATGATCTTAGTGCTCAGCAGGAGCCAAAGAGGTAAATGAGACATCAGAAGTTAGTAGGAAAGGAACAAAGCACAGAAGACTGTTATGTTACCACAGTATAAATCCAGAATTTGCACGCGTATTTGAAGACTATGTGCAGTTGCTACATGTCTTGTTTGAGATGAGGGGGTGAGAACTGGAGACGATTGAGAGTTTGCAATCAAGGATGAGTGGAAGTCTGAAATGGCTTCTTTGCATTTGAAGTTTAGGGAAGAGATAACTGGGAGGGTTGATGAGAAAGTTCTGCAAAATCGTGGATATCGTAGGGAGAATTAGTGGGCATTTGTTGCTTTTTCTGATGCAAAAGGTAGGAGGCATCAGTTGAATCTCATGAGACCAAGATTCAAAACAATCACAGGTTTTTGGTTCTTTGTGCAATGAGTAGAAGGCCTGTGAGATTCTGCTGAGGTGCACTACGAGGGGAAGAGGCTTACTCGGGTTCAGAAAGTGGACAACTAGCTGCAAGTGAGAGTCATTAGTAATTACTAGACCAGCAAACTAGAACAGATTTAGGAGCTGAAATCAGTTGGAGGTTGTGGGAGAGTTTTAGGAGGTAAGAGTCATCTGTGTGTCTTCTGTTCTTGCTGTTCCCTGAGGCCTTCTGGCCATTTTGTTTTGTTTTGCTTTGTTTTCACAGGGTGTGATCTCTTAGTTCTTCTCAACTTCCCATCTTCCAGTTCTGACTGTTCAGGGATGCATTGAGGCAAGCAGGTTAACAGACTCATTGGAAAGCCCTGTAGTCACACACTCTGCCAGAACCAGAGTGAGGAACAGTTAATCATCTCCTGTGGAGAGTGCTGGCCATAACATTTCATGTCTGGTGTCACCGTGCAATGAGAAGTTTATATACTGAGAAGTATGCAAAGCTCCGAACAGCTCTTCCAGGGCGTATGATGGCTTTGCTGATCTTACGATAAGCAACTGGGGGAACACTGCCTATGGTGGTCTTGTCTGCAGGCTTCACGACTGCAAGTGGCTTGATGGGAAGCCAAAGTTGCAAGACTTTCAGTACTTGGGTTTGCTTTAGATATTGGTGCACTTTGCCCTTCGGATGCAGCCTGAGTCCAGTGCATGTTGGCAGTGTTTTCAGTATGCTCAGTTCCCACTGTGTGGGGATTGGTACTGTGCTTCAGGGGCCCTGACAGTGTTTTCTGGGCATCCTGATCTGTTGGGTTCATTTGTTATCTGGGTGTGTGAGGGGTGCACATGTAGGGCTAGCAGGGCCCTAAGAACAGCTCACGCTTGGGTTGCCCCACCACACTATATACTGCAGTAGTTTATGGGCTGCTGAAAAGGAGGTGATGGGCACCAGGGCATTGCTCTGCAGCATGCACAGCTTCTGCAGTATATACAACCTTTCTCTGAAAAAGGAAGGTTCAGGCTGTTATGCTCTTCAGCAGTTCTTTTTAACTTACTAGTTTTGTTGCCATTAATTTCAGTTATTTTACAGCTGGCTGCTTTTATGATCCCAAGCTGTACTACTTGTCCTATTGTTTAGTCCATCTGTCTAGTTAAATATTAATCTCTACATATCCGAAACAAGTTTTTGTCTATTCTATTACAGAAAATTTGCATATTACGTGTTTATTTTAACAGCATGATAAAGATAAATAGAAATAAGAGGTGAAAGTAAAGATCATTATGTAAGGCACCCCAGGGCCACAGCTGCATGAATGATAATATGCACAGTAGGAACTGGTAGAGCATGTTGTGTCTTTTACGTGTCCTTTCTCTTTTAAAGAATGTGAAGGATGTCTGGATGGTTCATAGGTTGCTGCAGTTGTGCTCTGTCACCATTAGTAGATGGCTGCACACCTTCATGCTCTTCCCAGTTTACTAAAGCAGGAGCATAATACTAGCACATTCTATCATAGAAATGGACAGGCCAAAGTCATCTTTATTCTGCAATCTTACAGCTTTCTTTCATTGCAATAAAGCTCATTCTTCAGCAAGGGAAGAGGACAAAGTTATGCAAGCATCCTTTCCAGAAGGGTGAAAGGCATCCAGTTTTCCTGTCTACATGTAAACTAGTACAAACTGAAATTGTTGATATAGGAACAAGTATTCTTTATTTATTTTGAATTACCATTTCCCTGTTCTTGTGACTCTTTGCCATTGCTCCTAGCACTTCTGTTCACCTGTGTGCTTCTCAGAGTGGTAGATAAACCCTGAGCAATCACAAACGTATGCCTGCTCAGAGGCATGAGTTACTTGAGCTGTTTCTTTCTCCCCCTGTTCATATACCTCTAGAAAACTAGTTCTTGATTTCTGCTTGAATCAGTGACTGCTTCCATAAGCAACATAGAGATTATCTAGGAGCTGTGTTCCAATGCCTGAAATACTCTTGCCCTTACGGAAAAGTTCATAGAACAATGTTAATGCGAATTGTCTCGTCCTAATGAAAGTCCTGTAATCTCTTCTTCCAGCTTTGCAATGAGAATTAGGTAGTC